GCATGCTGAGATCTTGCTGCTGACCACCTGAAATAAGTCTGTAGGGAAGATAAGCCCCCAGCAGAAGCAGTGCTTGTGGGCTTTATCTGGATTAGAATGTAAATGTGTGCTATTATGTGGTGTGCAAAGCCTGACATATACCGAGCTCACTGAGTAAGGTGTGATGTTCTCTAAAATACCATGACCAGCTTTAAATTAGTTTGCACAGACTGTCGTTTGGTAGGACCAGCCTTGTCCTGCTTTCTACCTAGTTATATACCCTGAGCTGCTTCCCTCTGTCGTTTCCCCACAAATCTCTCTGCTTCTGTAGTTCCCACAGAGCTAGGCTTGTGTAGCCCCTTCCTCCATAGACACAGAGTCAGCACCTTATTGCAACAGGCAAGGGCACGGTATTGTGGTGGGAGGCTGTGTTTGCAAAAAGCCAGGTAATTCAGCAAGTGGTAGTGGATGGAAAGAACATCATGGATTTCCATTTCATGGCATCCGTACAACTCGGTCAGTGTAATCCAGAAAAGCCAGCACAGGAATAGCTCACCAACAAGGTACCGTGCGTAGCTGTAGGAGGGCCCTGTGGATGCCAAGGTGTCTACACTAGCTTTATGTTGATGGCCTTAGGAAAACCAAAGGTTTACTTTGTCTAAGGCTACTTGGCTAACACAAACCAGGCTTTTGTCAGCTAACAGGCACTTTGTATGTGGAAGCAGTTAAACTGTAACAACATTTTGTGGTAAGGTCTAGAACTAAGTGAGGGCTATTTCCTTTGTAAATTTGAAGGGTAAAGGTACAGAGTCTGCATTCTCTGAAGCATGAATTAATATCATGCTGAGTTAAATTCTTTTCTTTTCTTGGGGCTTTTATTTTTTTTTTTTACTTAAAACTAAACAGCTATGTGTATTCTGCGCTCAAAGTTTTTACAAACATGTAGAAATTTAAACAGACCTTTGTCTACTTATTCTGACAATCTGCTATCCTTCTGTGAGTTTCTTTAGACAAAAAAATAGCTGTATTAGCAGGAGGCAAACTTGTCATGAGATGAAGTTGATGTCTAGCTGGCTAGTTATTATAAAACACCAGCTAGGATTTCTGGAATTTCCTCTGAGCCTTTTTATTCCTTCCTTTTGTTCTACTGTTTATATAGTCTGGAAATTGATAGGGTGTTAAGTCTAGGAGCAGAAAAGTCTTTGGCCAGAGAGCCTGGATTGCTTATAGTTCTGAAAAATATATACATTTTAGGAAATAATAGCTGTCATTTAAGGAGTCTCAATTTAGGCAGCTTCATTCTAAAGCAGACATCCCTCCAAAGTGGAAAAAGCAAATGAGCTGCATAAAACAAAGGGAAAGATTTAGCCTTCATGCTAAGGGGAAGCTCTTTGAAGAATCTGAAAAAGTCAAGGGGGCAAAATCAACTTCAGCTGTTTTAGCATGCTCAGGCAGTGCCAAACAAGTGCCGCTCTAAATCTCTCCTGGATTTCCACAGCCGTCAAGCAGTCTGGCCTAGAGCAGCGGGTTTCTTCACATGGGCTGCCAGTGCACATGATGCTGAGCATATGTGCACAGCAGAGGAGGGCAACACTGGTGCTATCAGCTCTAGCCTTGAGGTCAAGATGAGTGCTGATGCCGCCTTCCTCTTTTCAAGGAAGAGGCTGGGCTCAAAAAGGGCTGATAAAGTCCCCAAACAATACATGCTCACTTGGCCCAGTTGCCTGCAGAGGCTGCAGTTGAGAACCGAAAGGGCCACCAGACTGCTGTCACAGCTACTACCATGGCAAATGGGTGTGGGTGTTTCTGCTGGTGTATTACAAAAGAGCCAGAGAAGTAGGACAGAAACCTGATAGGAATGTAATTCAGGAAATAAGGATGACGTTAAATTTAACTTCACACTAAGAAATGCACTCTATTGCTTTTGTATTATGTAGAATTATATGTAAAATTATTAAGCAAATAAGCTAATGAAATATCAAAGGTTGTAGGGTCTTTGAACTCCATGAAATTATGAATTTAAAAGAAACCCTTTGGCCAGTAAAGCAACGTTCCACACATGCTGTGAACGTCTGTGGTCCTTCTCTCTTACCTAGGAATTGTGTTTCATGCACCACTATTTGAAAGTGTTCCTTCCTTTTTAACAGTAAAATGAAGACAAAGAATGAAATCTAAATAGTTTTGACTTTCATCACTAAAATGTACCATGTAATAGATTAATGGACTGTATCATGCCGGGGGGGAGACTGATTTCAGCAAACTTAAACATACCAATGCCAAGAAGTGCCATGCCAATTCCAGAAGTGTGTATGAATGCCCTCGACCTTTTGAAGTACCTCTGGCTGGGGACTGCCACACTGATTCAGTGTGAAAGTTTTGTTAATCAGTGTAACATCTGTGACGAGTGACCACTACCAGATACTTCAGAGAGGGGTGCAAAAAAACTACGTTGGACAATTATTTATCAGGTGGACTTTAATTTACTAATAGTTTATACCTCATGTTATGTAAAAATAATGGAAGGAGGAAACTATCTGAAAAATATAACATGTTCTAGAAGAGGATAGACCCTTAAATTATCTCAGCTAGAAATAAGCCAAGCCAAAAGTGAGAAAGGCTTTGGGAGAAGAAAGAGTTTGAAAATGAAGTTGAATCAGAGAGCCTGGTTTGTGAGAACACCGTGGAGGTCAGTGGAAGAAGTGTTCCAGTTTCCTTACCAGGGCTAACTTTCATTTTTAATGTAAATTATACTGTCAATGTGTGATGGTAGCTGCTAAGAAAGACAGTTTGATCACAATTTGTGGACACCTAATGTTGAGCTCTGAAGAGCAAACACATTATAGGGAAGGGGCTTTTGTCTCCATAGTAACTTTTATTTTCCTGACACAAAATACTGGAAAAGAAATGAAATGTGAATTACTTTCTGCCATTACTTACAACATCTGTATTCAAAGTTGTATCACAGTGTGTCAAGACTGAGTCCCATTGCACTCAGTTCTCTAGTCATGCACTGTCAAAACACGTCTGCTTCAAGTAGCCACAATTAAATGTGTGAAGAGCTACACGTTCAACAAAAATAAAAGCACATTATACTAAAGGTACAGTGATTAGTACAATTAGTTACCAGTCACAGTGAACTGTTCGCCTAATCTAGCTTTTGGTTATAGTTGTTATAGATACTGTTCCAGAAAAGGACAATTGATAGGAAAAAATAGAGAGGAGGGTTTTCTCTTTGACTTGCAACTACGGTAGCCTCAGACTCCCATCTACAGTAATCTGCCAAGGTGACAGGCAGGAGAGAAGTACAGAAGGTAAAGGAAATTACACTGACCTACAGGCGAAACGTTGTAACAAGCAAAACTAGGAGAAGAGTAGCAGATTTCCTTGGGTATAGGAATGCAGTGACTAAAAAATTACCTTAGATTGACTGATAAGCATTTTAAAGTGGAAATTTTTAGTGAGAATATGAGAACAAAAAGGGAATATCGTCACTGACTTCACAGGAAATAAATATGGACATCCTATGTAAATCTCTTTCATTTTACTACGCGTCTTTAAAAGTTGTTTTAAAAAATTTTAAGAAATACCCATTAACTAACATTTTAAGAGGAAGCCTGGGTAGGGACAGTGGGAGGCCATGAGGGGCATATTAAAATTGAATCAACATGTTTCTGTGGGAAATGCCTGAAAAAGCATTCTGAAAGATTCAGCCTTATAACTCCTGGCTGCCACATGGAAAGATCTGTTCTTGCATCATCATCTTTTCAACAGCACAAACTCCTAATGAAGAAAGTCTGTGAGAGCTAAACAGTTGGTTTTGGAAGATGTGAACATCAAAAGGGTACGTTCCTCGAGACTCACAAGAGCGAGCTTTAGAAGTGCTGAGAACGCTCCAGGCAGCTCCTTCACGGAAAGACCAGTTACCAATGTTAAAGTATAGAAAAGGTGATGAAGAATAACTTTTTTCTCTGGGGTGAATCGTGTTAGGGAGCCCTGAGCAGATACAGCTGGGAGCAAACAAACTTTGTCCTTTCTTTAAGAATGGAGCTAACCTCTGAAAAAACTATTTGTACCAGGATTAGGAATGAGCGTGCTGGGGAGGGGATAACATCTTAAGCATGGTATAAGGTCAGAGTTCAATCAGGGTGCCCCAGGACCAACATGAGTTGGTTGAGCCATTTTGTAGATGCTCATTGGCTTCTTAAATGAAAATTAAAGTAATACAGTTCCCTTCTACAGACGAGACCTAAGTAACTCATGCTAGTTGGAAACTGTCCAGCAGGGCTGGGACAGCAGAAAGTTTATAAGAAAATCCTCCTCAGGCAGCTATGCACATTGTGATAGCATGAACTATGGGTGGTTTATAGTTGTTGAAATTTGCTTTTATATTAAGGGGAATGCATTAGAATAAGTATCCATTAGAATGGATGTAATGCTGTGTAATGCTCTAATCTGGTCTCATCTGGTAACTTATCACACGTACTCTTCCAGACTGTGTTTGCTACTGTGCAAAGAAATGTTGGGAAGGCACACACTGATGGGGTTGCTCTAGTTAGAGAAAGCTCCAGATAGGCAATTGCACTTGTTGTGTTTGTTAACTTTTCACTCTCTTCATGATTTATTTTCCTTACTGAGAAATCAACGTGCAAGCAAATGGGCATTTATCACTGTTTGGTAAACATAGAAGAAAATAAAGTGTTTGAAGAGATTTGAGATACTGGATTTGTAGTTGTACTTTAAATGGAAGGCTTTAGAGTGTGCATTGCTATCTTTTCAGGGTTTGTTTGTCATACAAGGAAAGAATTTTTTACAAGGTTGGTTTAAACTTGGTATATTTTCCCTGTAACATGAAGTACTAGTTTGTGCAAATCTAAGATCTTGAACGTACTACGTGAGCAGTTGTGCAGCATATTACTGTGGGGACTGTGATAATTGTTCAAAGGAGGAGTTTGCTACGCAGTCAATGTGACTAATAACTTCTCCTACATTACTGTTTGAAACACTGGGAAGCTATCAATGACTCCTGATCAGATAGTATTTTTATTTGCTGTTTATCTGAGATACATTCCCATGCTCAGAAAAGTAAGACATTTTAACAAAAAGGTAGCTGAAATCTGCTATAATCACTTGACTCGGGAGCTACGCCATTAAGAAAACCAAAACTTACGGTTGGAGACTTTGAAACACCAGCTTTACTTTCCAGGGCTTCTGTGCAGTCTCTTTTGAACGTGTTCCAAATTGTAAATTGTACTATTGAAGCCTACTTCTTCTGAGGCAGAACTGGAAATTTCTCATTTACGTTGATTTAAAATCACATATTTATATAGGTTCATGTGAAATATTTGTCAGCCTCAGCAACACTGTTCTCAGACCCAGTATAAAAAAAGGTAAAAGTATTTAAGAAAAGAATCAATTTTAAGGTCACAAAGAAACTATTTTGAAGTAAAATACTTCACTCTGCCACAGATTTCCAGTAAGGATTTGACTGATGGTTGTTTCTTAATCAGTCCTGAAGAGCAGAGTTTCTTATGAAAATACAGCAGGTCTGACTTCCTTCATAATCCATTACCCCTGGACATACTGATATATCAAAATCATTCTGATTTTTAGCCATTTCTTAGAGAAATAGAAAATGTTACAGTACTTGAACTTAATTTAACAAGATACAGTTTTGGTCCTTCCTAGATCAGTTAACTGCTTTTTATTTATTCACAAAACCTTCCTTTAATCTCAGCTGTTTGCTTCTTCCTTAACACCAGAAATAACCAGTGTTTCCAATGACATTTTTCAGCTTCCAACTACAGCTGCACTGCTGCTTGGATAAGCTGTGCAGTACTCGGACTGTATTGCTCGTCCCCCGTTTTGTCATTAGCACATCAGTCTACTTAATAGTCTAGATTTCTAGAAATATATTAGAAAGTGAAATAGAAACTCAGTGGTGAAAAAAGATCCCCAAAGTATGCAATTAGCAATACTAAGGTATACATAAGTGTATAAATTCTACAAATACATGTATATATGGAGAGAGAGTATACAACAAGCAGTATTAATTCATATCATGAAAGAATACTGTAGTGCTTGAGAGAATTCGTAATCAGGTATGTATTTGCATTGTAATCCTATTCCTGAAGTGTCTTTTCTGTCAAGTATACGCACAGATCATGCATATTTAATGCTTTACTGGCATTTTCTCTCTTTATACATATACAGTATTCCTAGGAAAGTCCAAGAGAACTATACCGAACATGAGCTAATAATTGTTCTTGCTTTTGTAGAAAATGAACCCAAACGGGGAGTTAACTCCTGCCCATTTTAGGTAATTTTTACTTGTTGCGCATTTAGTATGTATTGTTCTTAGTATACTGCTTAGTATACTAAGTATTAGTGTATTGTATTTAATATTACAGTTAGTGCTATATGTAGTATTAGCATACAGGTCTCTTAGAGCGAATATTGCACTATGTCTATCTGCCCTGTCTAAATTATTTTGATGAAAAATCTACTGTGAAAAAATATATCTATATTGAATATATATCTTTTTATAAACTTCCTCTGTTAAACCAGAAAAAATCCCAGGTAACACCATTGAACAAACAATGTTTGACCCATTGTTTGCCAAACACCTTTTTCTCTAAAATGAAATGAAAGTGTCTACTGCATGTTTTTGCTACCAGCATGTTTCAAAACGTTAAGTAACGTAGTGCAGTTTTGGATGGGAGACCTATGTGAGCTATACAGTGAATTATGAATAAAAAGGAATAGAAATCTCCTCAATCCCCAAATTGCATTGTGATACAAACTTTTTTTTCCCGTATGAAATCCACTTTCATGGAAAAAATTAGTATGTACACAATTCTGAATTTAATGGTCTTATTCCATTGCTGGCATTATCTCAGGCAAATTGTTTCATATTTTTAGAACTACTACAGTACATCTTTTTAGTAACATAAATTCAATTGGGTGTTTTAAGAACTCTGCTTCTTTAGTTTCTGTGTTCGACAGTGGAATGAAACAGCAAAGGCAACTTGGCAGCAACCTGTTTTTTTTACTTTTGCCCCCAGGGAATTACTTTATTGCTGATTAAAATGTTATGTGGTGCCATGATTAGGCCCAGCGTTTTACTTCCATTCGTCTGCAGGTGGGACCTATGTCTGTGTCGCTGCAGTTGCACTGAGGGAAATTAAACGGAGAACGAAGTCGTGTACTCCACGTGTCATTTGCTAATGCAATGATGGCAGCTGTCGCAAAGTGAATTTTTCAGTCTTTCCTTTCCCTGAGAGCCTGGAAACAAGATTGCTTTGTGCATTTTTCAAGCAGTTAAATGTAACTTTTAGTATAAAATCTAAGACTATCATCAGTGAGGACAGTTGCAGATTTCTAAGGTGTTTCTGCAATTACAAATATAAAATTCAGCAGAACAGTAACATAAATCTAACTTTAGAGTTAAATAGGGTCAATAATTGTATTCACATATATAGAAACATACAAACATACGTTTTATACATGAGTATTTAACTTGCACTACTGGCCTATATTCATATGTGTATATTTATAATATAGTAGTTTTGCCCCTTGTACGTTTAGAACACAGCTTACTTGCCGGTGACTAGAAAGGCTGTCTTTTGCTTTTGGATAAAATGATTCTGTTATCACAAAATTGGAATACTTCTGTGTATTTGCAAGTGTAACGGGAATACGTGTTTGTTTAGCCAGTGCAGTTACAGGGCCATAACTGGTTAGGCTCCTGTCGGAGACGGCCACTGTTAAGTAGTCCTCACGTCCTGTGAACGCTCATTCAAATAAGGAATGACTTTGAAGTTAGCTGAGGAATTAGCGCTCTTCCCAGAAGCAGCATACCTTTGATTTCGTGGCTTAATTATTCTGCTACTCTTCTCCATTATTGAGCTCCTTTGAATTGGTCAAATCTTATTCATTCGTCTGTTGTTTGAATGAGCAGCGGCTGCTGTTTGGCAGGCTCTGAGGAGCTGTCGTCGGCACTGTTGCTCAGCACGAGATGACCAGCGGGTTAGACAAGGACTGGTGATTCTGCGCCTGCTCCAGAGGTTGACTTTGTAAGAGTTCACAGGCAGTCAACTCATGGTAAAGAGTATCTAGGACTTCAAATAGGTGGGCTTTTCCTTTTAAAAGAAAATTGCAAATGTTAGCATATCAGCAAAGCAAGAAAATTGCAGTTTAACAATCATAACAAAAGCTCTCTTCTACCAGGTGCTATTTCAGTAACTGACATAAAATTCATAAATTTTGAGAACAAATAATCAATTCTGTCCCTCTGAAAACACATGAGAGTGGAGCTGGGTTCAAGGACTGTTTTCTCTGCTGTTTCTCTAGCTTCGTCCTCTGCCCATGAAGTCCTCACATGCTTGTGTGAACAAAAGCTGTTTCGTACCACCATAAAAAGTTGCTAAATCCAATCATCCACTTACTGTTCTCAGACAGGAAAAAATGTTTGATTACAAAGATTTAGGAAAGCTGCTTAAGTCACATCAAGTGCAGAGCCAGAACATGGAAGAAGAGAAGACGAGCAGTTTATGGCAGTGGTGGTGCAGAATGGACAGAGAGTGTCACGAGGTTACTTCACTGTTAAACCTGTTGGTTCAGTTATGCATTTAGGAAGCAGAGCTGTGCTACATGTTCCTGCGTAGGCTAAGCAGTAGTACCTTCTGGACACTTGTGTGCTGTGGATACTAATAGTCACTGCTTCGCTTGTGTTCACCAGATCTATACCTCGGATATGGTTTCCCTCTCTGTTGGTGTCCTGGAGCCAGCACAGGCTGCAGCTTCCCCTGAACAGCACAGCTTAGGTCTGGACTGCCTGCACTCTGAATTGCTGCACGCTAGCAACAATGAGACTTTGAAAGAGCAAAACCCAGAAGGATTTTTGTTATTCCCCCTGAAACAGTTATTAATTTTCTCTAAAACCAAACCCTCAGGCCGCATCTAGCCTTTTATTATCTTGTTTTTGACTACTGTGCCTATTAAAAGCACCTACAAACTTCGTTCTTAGGCTTGGTACAGCATGTTCATTTCTTCAGCATAACTACAAATGCTCTGCTAATAGGAACAAAGTAATCAAATCTAAACCTCCAGGCTTTGGTCCCTGTGTGGTTCCTACAAAGGAAACAGACCGTTGTCTCGGGAGCAGATTTTACAAGTTTGATTTTTCATAAGAGGAACATGAAAGGTTATTACTAGAAGAGTGCAGGTGTGATCCAGTTTCTTCACAGAAATATGCTGTTTTTCTTCATATACCTTGGTTGTGTTGCAGGAGAGGAATAAAACATGCACTGGAATAGCAAGTGCTAATAAACAGATGCCTTACATACTCAGGGTTATGTTTTCCTCTTTTTTATATTGATGAAATCCTACAGACGTTAGTGGGATACTAATGCTTCCCCTAAGGCCAAGTTCTAATTTAAATTTAGCTAAAAAAATACTGGATATTTTCCTGTTTCTGAAGTGTCGCAGACTAGAAATCATCAAATTATAAAGGTAATCTTCTGGCATGGTACTTCTTTCCCTCACCCTGTCCACCAGGAGTTGAAATATATATATTTTTTTCCTACTCCGTTGTTCATCATCTACTGTTTTTCGCAAAAGGACGCTTTTCCTACTCCTTGGTCTTTACACATGATTTACTCTCTTACCATTTTGGGGGTCACGGCAGGATTCCAAAGTGCTCAGCAAGATTTTCCCCAAGGCTCGCTTAGATATGTTCTTTAAAAAACAAGATAATATTATGGCACAATTATGTCCTTCACCAGCTTAAATACATGCAATGAAATCTATGCAATGTATTTGCATTGGAAAATTAAAACAAAAGAAATGGAGTCCTGGTAACATGAGACCTGATACTAGCTTTATTTTCAGGTATTTTATCATAGATACTAGCCAACTGAGAGCAGTTTGTGGAGGGTCCAATTTCCTTAACACGGCTCTAGAAAGAGAAACTGCAGTTATTCATTCCAAAATACAGAGCTTTCCAGAGCTTGTGCCAACACAAATCTAGATGGTAAGGAATGCACACAGGGCACGCACTATAAAAGTGTGTTCAGGCCTGCTAAACCTATGTAGGAAAGTTTTCTGATGTTATATCAGAAAAAGGCTTCCCAAACCCACCTGTTTTAAGACTCTTTTGCAAGCATTTTAGGTATGCAGAAATCAGAAGAGGTTGTTGTACGTATCATATGGCAGGCCCGCTATGAGTTATATATTGCGATATATTACATGTTAGCCTAAGTGAGAGGACTGCACGAACTACTTAGGATTTGCATGGCCTTTTTTAGTAGTAGTTTTATTTTGGAAGTCTTTTGGGATGTTACATAATGTGTCTGGAAAACAAACTCTCTTAATTAGTTATCTAGACAGTAATGCATGCTTTCTGGGAGATGATCTTGCAATCAGTTTAATTGGGACTTACAGCCCCCACATCTGCAGGGACAGGCTGTTCTTGTTAAAACTTCAATAAGTGAAAATAGATGGAGGCTATTCTGGAAGAAAGACTAAGTACGCTGCCAGCAACTCAGGCGATCCTGCCTTTGCTTACTGATGCTAGTCATTTGTCTTCTGCATGTCTGCCCCAGTGGGGAGCAGGGCATAGTGGAAAGAAGCTTTTGGTAGGGTGGGATTACATGTGGCCTTTGTAACCTGTTGGGAAGTTCTAGTACTCCTGGCAGAGTGCACGTTTTTCTTTGGACAGTCATTGCTTTGTGGAAGATACTGGTGCAAGTAGGATGCTGGGGGCATTTACAACTGGAAGAGGAATATGCTGGGGAAGTGACACTTAAAACTACAGTTACTGATGAATAAGCTTTCTCTGTCTGCAGTAAATACCATTAGAGATTTAGGAGATCCTTGTTTAAACTCTACTGGGAATGCTGTAAATTGCTAAATTGCAAGGACAGTGGTGTTCCCTGTACCGGTACTATGGAAATGTGGCATGTTTTCAGCAATGATTAGCATTAAGCACTGTTACCACTCAGATGTGGCACACTGTATGATGGATTGTCTCCTAAGCAGGAATAATTTTCAGTAATATGACTGACCAGTGAATGACATGTTGAAGTCCTGATACAAAAGGTTATTATACTTGTTGCCGGTCACAGTCTTTACTAGTTTAGTTCTTTACTGGATAGTCATTGATGCATGCAACAAGCAGTGCCAGACTTGGGATATGAAAGTATAATTTTTGTGTCAAATGCTAAAATAAGTTACTATATTATGAGATATTGCACTTGTTCACTAGAGACAGCAGTGGAACAGGAGCGTACTTCACACGCAGTAAAGTGATCATCTGAAGAGGTGTTCTCATCTGACACAGACTAGGCAACAGCTTTGCTGAAAACCGAGGAGCACCCTGAGTCGTTACTGAAGAAATTTAACTCCCAACATACTCTGATTTCTACAGATTATCTTATGCACCTCTCTTCTGGCCATCCCTCACCATTATCAATCCCCAGACAGAAAATTTAAACATATTTTCTAAAGGACTGAGCTGCCATACTGGCTATATACTTCTGGGATATTATTGCATCAGCCATTATGTGTTTGGGTTATTAATTCAGTAAAAAACTTCTCTCGGAAAAATATCTTATTGGTATATAGGAAGTGTTTTTATCCCTTTAACATGGACTCAGTGCTGCTGTAGGATGCAGTTAAACAAAGGCTCTCCAATTTTTTTTTTTTTTTTTTTTTGCTCCACCCTTCCTTCTGCTTGCACAGAGGGAAGCTGGATTCTTGTCCCTGTGCAGCACTGATTTCTGGCTCAGTCTGAATTTTGAACTCAGTAGGTACTGGGAGCTGTGCTTTGCAATGACAGGACACCTCTGATCAGCTGCTGATCAGTGCTTGCCGTTGCTGTACAAAAGGCAGAGCCTGAGGCTTGGCCTGCTATCCTGCTAGCTCCGTCATGCCTACCCTCCTGATACCGGTGGTGATGGGAGGTGCACTTTCTGGTTTACAAAAACTTGTGACTTGAAGACTGATACATAAAAATTTCTGAACGCTTAACCATGCTACTGAAATAAAAGATAAAAGTGTTAACTTTAACCTTTAGCCAAATTCCAGACTGTACTGCTATTTTCTGCCCAGCTAAATAGTTCACGTGAACATTTTGACTTCCTCCACTATATTACCATACAACGTACTGGAGAGTATTGCGTTGTTGCTGCATTTCACCCCAAGTCTGACTGCATAGCACATGTTGGTCATGTAATTTCAGCAGAAGATTCTCGTTACAGGAATCTGAGTCTGAGGGTGAAGTGCACTGGCATAAGAAGAACGACAGAGATATTAAAGGAGGACTATGTGCTTTCATTTCTTTCCTCAAAATAGGAATGTATGTGAGGATTACCACATACCTCACTGGGAGCTGTGTGAGGCAAAGAATCTTTAAAATGAGAGTTGTAGTATAAAAGGAAGATTTTTCAGGCTGGTTTCTGCTTAAGAAAAGACAGTTAGACTGGCACTGACATTATCAAGTTACTTCCTAGAAAGACGTGGTGGAAAACAGTCTTGGATCACCTGACACATAAAACCTCCAGATAGGGAGAGAAGTGGGAATAATGTAGAGGCTTTTATTACTGAGGGCCTGGCATTGTACTGAAAGAGGCTAGGCTGTTACCAGAAGACTGAAGGCAAGGCCTGAGGGTCAAAACCACATGGAAAGCGGAAGTGCTCCAAGCTTTCACCAGAAAACTCACAGCTCATCTCCTACCCGCTGTTGCTTTTGCCTTCCCATGTCAATTGTATCTAGAAAGGGACAAACATATGAGATAGAACCAGCTACTGCATTAAACAGGAGTAAAGCTGGCTTTTGCCTCTCGCTGTGCATGCAAGTGATAGCAGCCCATCAAATAATCCAGAGCCCAAACCCTGAGGTCAGCTGTCCCTGCAAGCAGAGCTGCCTCAGCCTGAGAGTGCCAGCCTTGACCCTAGTACCAGCCGTGTGGGGCAGCACTCCTTCCCCGGGGCAGCAGCAGAGCCCCAGCTCTGGGCTACAACTACAACAGTGAGGAGAGATGTTAGTGTGGCCGTTAACGTCCTGCCTTGCCGTGGTGCTGGGCCACTGGCATTCCCAAAGCAGCCTTGCGGGAGGCTTCTCTCCAGGAGAAGCCAGGTCACTGAACTGGACAGTCAAGCGGTGCCACGGCAGGGAAGCAGCAAATGGAGAGTAATTGAGTAGTGGACCTGTCCACACCTTACCCCATGCAGCAGTCAGCACCTACTGTGTGTCTCCTAAATTAGAAGCCCCAATTCCCAGTTGGGCCACTAGGAGCAAATATTTATTTTTTGGGAAGGCTTATGTATAGTGCTTTAGAATAAAGAGAGCCTTACTCCAAGCCTTCATGAAAACGAGATGTTATGGCCCTGCTATTCTTGGATTTGCCTGATGTGAGCATACAAACTGTGATGTGAAATGATATGCTCCCAAAGAACAGAGGCTACATAAACCGTGAAGACCTAGAACCAGTTCACAGTTTGATGAGATTTCTGTGGGATCAATAGGAAAAACAATGTGAAGTAGGCTTTCTAATGATTAACGTTTTTGTTTTTCTTGACTCCCAAATTTTTACTTAGAGGAGAGCTTGGAGATCTAGATCCAGGGAGTTATCTAGGCCTCTTTTGGAAAGTCATCTGGAGGGGTTTAGGAGTTTTCTGCAACCCCTGGGACAGTTCCAGGGGCAAACACTTGCAGAAATGTTTCCTAGTGTAAGGGACCTTGTACTGAATGAAAGTTATGAACATCCTTTTTAGTTTGGAAAGGACACCATCAAAAACAGTTCTAAGTCTCTGGACTGCTTTCTTGCCATACCAAGTCTTGAAGCTGTTGAAGAAGCTGTAAAACATCCATGAGCTTTTCTTCCACGAGTGACAGCCTAACTCTCTCAGTCTCCAACATCTGTAGCTCCATCTTCAACAATTCGGTCTCCTCCACCTTTTGCTGCAGTTCACCTAGCAATGGGCCTTTCATCTAGACAATGACACAGGAAATTAAAAGCACTGGAGCTTTTCGCTTTCTTGTCCAATAACTGCAAAGCTAAGTTTTCCCTGTTATCTGGTAAAAGTCAGTTCACACCAGATTATCTTGAAAGGAAGTACGTTTCTTTAACGTCTACATAAAGTGAAGAATCAATTGTTGCTAGGAAATGCTTGCTTTGCTCTCGTACATAATGGCAGGTCATTCAACACTGGATGCAAACAGATTATTGAGAAATTTTAACTGCTGGCATTCCGATTTCAGTTTTCCAATCTTTTGCAATCCTGTATTCCTCTAAAGTAAGAAAAGCATAACTGACTTGTATGCCCTCACCAATGTGATCTTATTTTTGCTTTGGAACTCCTATATGCAGATCATCCATATATCTGATGAAACAAGAAAATAAATTTACCAGTTAGTTTCTTCTACATATTTTGGGGAATAAAAAAAGAGCTTAAGGAAAGATTTTTGAGATCCTGGTTCTGCAAAACATTGGCGTGCTTGCTTGCTTGGTGAAGCTCTGGTTTGCAGCTAAGTGCGGAAAGGTCCTGATGCAATAAGACTTTCAAATAGTCTACAGAAATTCTAGCAGGAGTGGTGTTCTCTGACCTGGACCTTCCAAAGCTGAGCTGCAACCTGTCAGTTGTCTCAGACCTACCTGCAAAAAAAATGTTACCGTTTGAAATGCTGGATTTGTTTCATTGCAGAACTTGAGTGAAATATTTTGCATCACAAAGTAAATGCTTGTCAGAGACCAAGGCCTGTTACAGTTATCACAGGGGTCTGAAAGGGTAAGAGATCAGGAAGGTGGTGCATGGGGCATGGCCGAGTTGCTGAAAAGAACTTGAAAATCATCCCCTGGAAAAAATGTCGCTTAAATATTAATTTCTCACTTTCGAGAGCACTGACATAGTTCAACTTTAGTAATAGAAATAAACTTCATTTTTCATTCGTTACCGTGCTCAGAATTTTGAAAGGTAAAATTACTTTTTTTTTTTTTGCAATTTCTTGTTGCAAACAGAATCTAAATATATTTATATTTCCCTTAGGAACAAAACCATGTGGAGTAAACGCCAAGTTTGCTGGCTCTGTTAATCCCTTTTTGTTGTCCTTTTTAAAATTTTTATTGCAGTTCTAGCAATAACTGCAAAAAGACCTGAACCAGTAAAGTTGCAGGTTTAATGGGCACACCATTAGATTTTATTTGTGGAAATTTTTATCTGAATTAACATTTAATAGGTAGGAAGGAACTTCAATTCCCTGAAGCACGAGTGTCATCAGAGTGAAAAAATAAAATAATGCCTGATCCACTCTGAGTCTCCTAAAAGGTCATTTTAGTTTCTGACAGTGCTAGAAGTATGCACTGGTTGTCGCTTGTTCCACCACCAGATGGAGATGTGCGTGTTCTGTTAGCTGCCCCGGAGTGTTGCTCTGTGAGGCTCTCTAGCTCCTTGGAGCTGTACAACAGCTACAGAAGTTTGGATTTCTTACTCCAGTCCATCTACCAAACAGTGATATCAGTATCCCTGTCTGAACACCCGTCTTGGATGAATAAGGTAATATTTTTTTGTATATTAAGCCAACATTGTTACCACCAATGTGGCAGCAGTGCAACTGAGACTTAACAAGTGGTCTAGGGGCTGTGTGAGGTCTTCAGCGCGTTAAACATGTGGCTTGCTTTATTATACCGAAGATTGCCTCCCCGTTGTCAAATGCCACTCATCACAGGTAGGTACTAAGCACATAAAGTATAGTTATGCTCCCCTGTACAGCTAAACAATGGCAGAAGTGTCATATCAAATAACACAGAGGAAACAAGGTCATTATCTGTATTTGTACAATCCACTTTCCTACTATGCAGCTAAAGAGATGCTCATGGAAGTTCTTAACTGGTGCCCATCTGTCCTGATGGGAGAGAGGCCTAGTCTGTCAGGCCTCTGCACCCATAATAGTACACATCTGCTGCTTTTAGCTGCTTCTTTAGTCATGCTGGTGAAGCCACCATACTTGGGAAGCTACACAGTGACTTCTCTGTCCTCTCTTGGTTGTTGCTGAAAGGCAGTAGGCCATGCAGTGTGTCTTATGTACAAACATGAATGGAAAAAGTACAAACTTTCCCCTTTAATATGCATGCCACTTGAGTTCTCCATAGTTGTCCAGTGTCATAACCAGCTGCTTAGTTTTTATAGGCAGCGTCTGCAGTATGCTTAGCTCAGAATACTGCTAGTGGTATTTGGACATAGTGTTTGTTGCTGTGGCTGGCTCTTTTTCCCCTTCATTTCAATTGCTCCTACAAAAAGCCCTTTTTGTCTGCATTTCCTAGGCTCTGACTAGTCAACTGCTTTCCACAGCAGTTACGCTTTCTTTGCAGTCACTTTCTCATATCTAAGAAAGCTGGTTTTCTGATTCCTTTGTTGTATTTTTGTTTATGGGTATGCAGTTTTTTTGTCATCTTATTGTGCTTGAAGACAGTGGTTCAGTGTACCATAAAAACATTCTCCCAGCAGGTTTTCCCTAGATAGGCTACATCTATCAGCTGTTCTTACCTCAACATTTGCAAATAAGATAATGATGATAGTGAAGAATAGCCTATTCTTTAACTTAGAAATGAGGAGGGATGGTCAGTAGTTAAGTCACAGGGCTCAGAGATGTGGGGTGTGTTCTTAGCTCTGTCAGAGTCCTTCAGCATAGCCTGATTTTGGATTTGTCTCTTTTAATTTGTGCCTTTTTTTGAAATGGAAATACCATCTTGCCAACTGCTAGTTTTAAGTAAAAGGGTGAATGCCACAGGAGAATCTGGCCTCCGGAGTAGCCTGTATAAAAATACGTCTAGGACAATGACTAATCAATACGTAAAAGAAAAACTTAAGGAACGTGAAAGAAAATGATTGTATTGTGTTTGCTACAGAAGTTGTTAAAGAGGCTCTCATATTTAGAGCCATTTTTTGCAAGAGATGAACCTGAGGAGCTTTCTCAAAACAGGAAGAAAACAGTAACAGAACTCCAGAATTAAGTGTTGAAATGTACTGTGTAATTTATCTGTTAAATCAGTTTAGCCTCAGAGGAATGGAAGGTAGCAAATGGAAAACCAGTTTTTAAAAGACACTGCGGAGATGGTCTGAAGGAAAACACATCACCTCAAGAATATGAATAATTCTGTCAGGCAAATTGATAGAAACTGTAATAGAGAAGGGACTTGGTGAATACACAGATGAACATGGTGGGGAATCTATTGGATTTCTTTGAAAGGGTCTATGAATATATATGAGTAATGGTAATTCAATTGATAGAGTGTACTTTGAAGCTGCAGAAAGCTTTTGTTAAGGTTCATCACTAACAACTTAAAAAAATAAAACTGACAAAGAACTGTAGAGTAGATCCTGCCATCGACTTACAGCTGGTTAAAAGGTGGGAGGTAAAGCACAGAATGGCAGACCAGAACTGAATGGTCGGTTTTTATAAAGGAGAGAGATCATCCTTAGGGTCTCATAAAGATCGGGGTTAAGATCTGAGCTGATCAGCATGTTCATGAGTGATTTTCTGAAAAGGTGAATGTGAAAGTGTTTAGGTTTGTTGTCCATATAATTTTGGGGGGTAATCAAAGCTAAAGCTGCCTATGAAGAATTACAGCAGGATTTCATGACACCGAATAATTGGGCAGTAAAGCAGCACATAAAATTCAGTGTAATGCGTAGTAAGGCATAGAGGGAAGATACACAATGTCATATGTATGCAGTGATGATGACTGCAGCTCAAGAAAGAGACCTAGGAGAACTGTATCCTGAACACAGCTCAGTGATCAGCGAAGATCAGAAGGATAAATGCTAGGAGCCAGCTAGGAAAGGAACTAGGGACAAAACAGAAATCATCCTTATGCCATGATGGGCTTACATGTGAATGCTGAGTTCGTTTTTGGTTCTTCTCATTCGAAAGGGGTAATAGGAGAGGCTGAAAAGTACACAGAAGAATAAATAGAATAACACAAGTAAGTAATGGTTTCTATATCAAGAGACATGGAACAGACAAGGAATGATGACAAGTGAGGCAACATTTCTGGTGCTAAAAGTCTGTAAAATTATGAAGGGAAAGATCATTTCCTGTTTCCCAAGCACAAGAACTATGCAACACTGGCTGATCAGGCAGCAGATTAAAAGCAAACAAAAACAAATCCTCAAAACTTTTTCCTTTATAACGTATTTCTGGGAGCGATCAGCATCGAGATGTAAAATACTGAACAAGCATTGACTGAAGCTTAAGACAAAGCAATGCATACAAATCACTATTTTTGTTTCATAGAAAGTTTCATAACATCAAAATCTGTAGCCATCATTGGCTGAAGTTGGCAATATTTAAATAGTACAATTAGATAGCACTGCTAGGATACCACACTGGGGCTTTTAAATACTGTGGTTATAACCTCTGCTGAAACTTGGACACGCTAATAAGCCTGAGAAATACATTTTTTTTATTTAGCATCAGAGTAATTTTCTTAAGAATTCCAAAACAGTGAGCCTCTGTGGCTCAATCAGCTGGAGGAATTTCTGGAAAAGTTATTTTAGGGAACTGGGTGGCTTGGCACAGGAGGAGTGTTTCATCCAAAGTTGAGAAACCACTGAAAGGGGCATGGCCTGTATTTATCTTCTGCTCTTTAATCTGCAGTGGTATCAGTCCAGAACACAAAATCTGTGAACATCTTAAATCATTTAAGTAAAGGATGATATTTGAAGAACCTGCGGGTCACTGTAGTTGGTGCACATCTCATCCTCCAAATAAATGGAAGTTCAGGTAGGAGCCATACTAGAAATGATGGTGATAAAGGAAAGCATGAGATGGTGGAGCCTACAGAGTAATGGCATAGAGAAAGGCATCAACAACAAAAAGCAGAACAGCCAGAATACAACAGATATAAATGCAGCTACCTAAAGATACATACATAACTCTTTCACACTATGCCTGGCATCTGTTACCTCTTCCATATTTGTTTCCAGTTTTTTCACTTTATGCCCTTTGAGCTCGAGCTGTTCAGTTAGCTGTGTGATTCTTCCTGCTAGCTCCACAGAGGCTGCTTGATAGTTATCAGTTTTGGTTGTCCCAAAATAAGACATCAACTTTTTCCTCATTTTTTCATCACATCTGTATTGGGGAAAAAAAAAAAAGAGTTAGAGAAGCCTCATAAGCAAGGTCCATCTTTGTAAAAGCCAGGTTTTCTGCAAAATTCTTGGCAGCACAGGTCATAAATTGGTGTCCTAGCTGACACCTAATAGGATTAGGTGGGGGTACTTAGTACATTGTTTCCCCAGTGCTGTAGAGGAGCACATGGGAACCTTTTGATTTTGTTTTAGAGTAGTATTGCTTCTTACTGAAGCCGTGGTGTCTTCAGGTCATGAAGTAATATTCTCAAAAGGTTCAAGCAGCATTAATCTCAGAAACATACCCACTGCCACAACAAGGGAGTTGGGCCAGTATTTTATTCACTTCAGCCTCTTGGGACTGTTGGTCTCCTGTCCACTTCTCCTCCTCTTCGTCAGAGGCGGCCTGGCCCTCCACCGATCGGAACATCTGATCCTCGACTGGAGAAATGAACAGCCAGTTAACAACAAAAGAACGGGCCCTGCTGCTCTGCTGCTGCGACATTTTAGATCGGTGCGACTGAGAAAGAAAAAACGAGATTTTAAATATCTCAGTGAAACACAGTGCCTTCATCATTCATGTAAGAGGGCTTTAAAACTAAGGCAACTGATCTTCAGCAAAGATCGTGATTTTAACGGCCTTCAGCAGCTCAGCACTTTCTTCCTGGTAACTTGTAGCTGTTTCACTTAAATTCTTTTCTTTCCAAAATATAAGGAGAAATGTGAAGGAACAATATATTATTAGGGTGACAGTTACCATTCGCATATGCAATTGAATATATGTTTTTCATCAGGAATGATGTGACGTGATAGGTTTTTTTGCATAGTCATTATACTAGCTGAATATCTATTCACAGTGCAAGGATTTCATTCAAATGTTCTCTTACTAATTCATTCACTTACTATGTGTTGTAGGGATGGTGATTTCGATATGTACCTGTAGTGTTAGCTATTTAATGCTTAGCTATAGCTATTTAATGCTTAGTTACAGCTACCTAACCTAAACGTAATGTGTCCTTACGCACCAAATAAACTGAAGATGAAATAACCATCATTCATGCAAATATACATACAGTCTTACCGAAATTTTTCAATACTTTTTAGCTACATCTGAGAAAAATTATTGCATTTAGCTTCTGTTTTTATCACAAAAAGATATTTACTGGGACTTAAATTATTATTCTGATGCTTATAACTTACTCACTGGAAATCTTTGGCATAGTAAGCACTGGCCATATCTTTATTCTGAAAGTTTATTTTGAATTGACATCAGGTCAAGCCAATTTAAACATGAGTTTTAATTTTATAATTATTTCCCTTAATAACTGCCAGTTAATTAAACAGCTTTAACTAATTCCAGCAGAGTGAGCAAGTCGAAGAATCATAAGAGCTTGCTATCATTTCTTCAAATACTGAAAGACATTTGACCTTAAGCAGCATTTCAAGTCTTGGGTACCTTCAGTTACTTCACCCAGCGCAGGAGCAGTGGGTGCAAGGCAGAGTCACCTGCCAGAGGCTCTCACGGAGCGGATACATGACTTTTTGTATGCCTTTTGCGGTCACAGGGGCAGCCACATGTTCTTCACTAGCGGAAGGAACATCATTTTGCATTTAAGCAACAGTAGCTCATTTTTCACAAACTGAAACAGCAGATTTTTGATCGCAGATACTTCTGTGCGTATGCGTGTGGGAGATGCTGAGAGATTTATATGGCAACTGTCCGGTTGCTGACAGAAATCCCATTAACAGTTGGCACCTGAACCGCACCGCTGGCGCCCTCAGGGGATTTGTTACACCAAACAGCGCACAGAAAGGCACCAGGTGCAGAGCGTAATTGTACGTGCCACCTGCAAGAACAACTCGGCTTTCATTTCAAACGTGCAGGTACCTCAGGTCAAGTTAAAATGCCCTTTCCATTTGTTGTCACTACTCGGAGGCTTTTAACAGGCTCTCCAGCCTCCGCTGTCCTTCGGCAGGATCTCCTTGAGGGGGCAGTCGCCTAACACCTCTGGAGGAGACCTTCCCTTCTGCCGGACTGCCAGCCTAAGCCGTGGTCAGCCTGCTGTCGGGTCTGTGCCCAGCAACAAAGGAAAAACAGCTTGATCTTGGATTTTTTTTTTCTTTTGGTTAACACTTGACATGTGTTTGTTAACGCAGTTTTCATTCCAGTAGCGTTCGGTGTGCCTGATTTGTAGGTTATCATGTTCAATAATGTATTGGCTAAGCAGGAACAATTGCTGCAGTATTGCTCTTTAATTAGAGAATGAATGTCAGTGCATCTTCATTGCAGTCCTAACACCATATGCACTAATGTATTAGCAGCACTTTTTTCGTGAGGCTGAGCGCTGCCAAAACCAAACAAATGACTTTATACCTTCAACGTGTGATATGTTAGCAATAAACTTTTTGTATGATCATTTGTTTCTTGCCTTAGGAGTTCAAAGGGGTAACCAGAAGTTGCAACTGTTGTGGCAGTCGTGAGAGCTGATATTACACAACGCTGTGGATTCCTTGAAGACCTGCAAACTGGTATGTTTAATCTGATAAATTATTGCTACATCTGGCATAGCAGACACTCAGATTAGCTTGTTATAAAGGGGAGGGAAAGGAATGTAAACTTCAAGCTGTCTTCAATCTGAGGTACCTAAGCCACTGCTAATACATTTTTTCACATGTGGGAATGCCTCCTGCTCTGATTGAACAAGTATGCAGAATAGACTAACCTTTGTAGGTTATGATTAGCAGGACTGGAAACCAGAGGTAACAGTGAAACTTTGTATGTGTCTCTCTTAACATAAAGCCAACACATTAATAAAATTCTTATATAAGTAGGATCCTCAAGTATTTGAATAGCGAGGTACATAGGCATTAATCTGTAACCCAGCTAACTTGAAATAATTTATGCAGTTCCATTGATGCAAATGCTCTTGTGCTCTAAGATATTAGTGTCCATTTAATGAAGTATATCTAGATATTTTATAAATAAATCTGTATCTAGATTTATTTGTCTAGTATATCTAGGTTTATCGCAGGTGTCAACACAGCTTTTTTTGTTCAACTTTACAGTTTCACTCTTAGTTATTTTTTCTTTTCTGCCTACTTAATCCTTTTCCATTTGATGCAATACTTTTTCACATTTTTAAAGATATAAAACCACAATGTATTTGTTTGCATAACTTTTGCTAGAAAAGCTGTTTGAACTTGAAATATGGGTAATTAGCTTAGACATGGGACCTATCTTTGAGCTGGCAGTATGCCTTTTTTAATAAAATACTTCTGAAAGCAGGCTAACTTTATAGGTCTAACCAAATGGAGAAAATGCTGAAATGCTAACTCTATTTGCATGTCATCCTTTTCCACATCCCTGAGCAGCTAGTTGCCAGCTCCGTTGAATACATTATGCAAAATTTATTTTTTTGTCGATACATACAGATCTCTGATCTGCAGTAAAGATACTGTGTTACAGCTAATTCCAAATAAGACTTTTTGTCTTTTTTGAACTAATTGAATCAAAAATCAAGGAGAGAAAGCCAAACTCTGTGTTTGGAATTGCTCTCTACTTGGCGTTTAAACCATTACCTAGGAAAAGGAAAAAAAGACGTTTGGCTTCTAAGATGGCCATCATAAATGTCTCTCATCATTGCAGCAGCTAACTGACCCCCCAAAATTGCCAACTCTTTGAGAGCCATAGTAGCTCTCTGCTCTATAAAAGCCTAGGTAATTTTTAACTAGAGCCAGCATTTTTCAAAGCCAGTGATTTTATAAGATTTTCAAAGAGTGTTTCATGCAGTCCCATGAGAAATTGCAGCTGAGCCTTGTTATGGCAGTAGTTAGCGTTACATGTGTTAAACAGGTTGGATCTTTTCAGAATTACTGAAGAGGCCAGAATTTTTCCAAAGAGCTTGACTGTGTGGAATATTAACTGCAAAAGGTTTTTTTGGAAAGGATTGTAGCTGAAGCTACAAGATCTATTTAAAGAAATGAAGACTCCATACTTATAAGCCAGGAAAAAGTTTTTGGTGAGGTGATATGAAAAAAACAGATGTTTTAAATTGCAGCTCTAAGTGATATGTTAAGTCTTTTATTAAACAAACAATTATGTGGGGAGAGAAAAGTAGGAAGCTAGGATATTACCTTTTCTTTAGGTCTATCTAGGATTTCAAGAGTAATTAGGATTTATTAGTGGCTTTACTGGCTTAAAATCTATACCCAGCAGAAAAGCTAGTATCTTAGAAATCACTGAGGAAAAAAATACTTGTTTACTGGGCTTGATACCGTTCTCTGAAACGCCAGTGCCACCAGTGGGAGATCTTCGATCTTGTTGCGCAGCAGATAAGCCGTAACTTCCATCCGGTGAAGCTGTTCCTTCTTTCTGCTCTGGGCTGCTGCTTGAAGGAGGCTGACATTTCATGATTTCTGATCTGAAAAGGAGGGGCAAAATAAAGTGCACTGGTGTAGGAAATTTGAAAAACCAAGATGAATGTGCACAACGTAGCACATGAACAATTCTCATCAAATTAGTGATTGTTGACAGAGGAACTTACAGGTAGCTAAATGGACAGCATTGGGGGATTGCATTCCAGCAAATTCAAGGTAGTATGCGTTAAAGGAAAAATCTGGATTATATTTAAATATAGTTGAGTTGAAAATCTAATAGGTCTAATAACGGAGTTATTTTATTATCTAAAAATCTAATTAAGTATTACAGTTTGGAAAGTATTGAAATAGAATATGAAATGACTATCATGTTGAGTAGTCTGGAGATACTGTCTTTTCCTCTGGAATGCACTTGGTTTGGTTTTGTCTGGCCCTCCTCCCTTCAGTTGCAAAGGGATGTAACAATGATAAAGTGATCAATGGTAACTGAAAGACCATATGGCTATTGAGAAGAGATATAACAGAAGTATGCAGTATAAATGATAAAGAAAATGAATTTAGACACTCCTATTTACATGCAAAACAGTAAAAAAAAGTCAGTGAAACTGAAAGGCAACATAAATACTGAGTTTATTTTAGGAATCTTGTTTTTTCCCACAGTATCTAGGTAACTTAATTCCACAAAACGGTTCTGAAATTGAGAGCTATGAAGAATTTTAAAAATCGGACACTTATTATGTAATAAGAAACTCACAGTTCCATTGGATAAATGGAAACCTAGCATATCAGTTCACATATTTAAAGTTTATATCAAACTCTCTCAGAGGTAGGGATAAACTGCCTCTCGGATATGTAGCTAAATGAACACCGAGTCTGGTCTATTATGATAATGTCTATGTTCCTGTCCCAGTGTTACATCTTTCCTGATTATAATCTGCTCATAACTCAGTAATTACTCTTGTACCTTTGTACATTTTGTAATGTAATGTTCTACCTTTGATATATGTTTCTGTAGTTTCCTTTTTTTAATATTGAGAAAACAGTTTACTTCCAATAATTTCATCTGGATATTTTCTCATTTAGACCATGTAATAACATGGTTGTACGCTTTCCCCATTAAGAGTCAGTGTATAGTTCACAAAGAATCTATATGCAGAAGAAAGCAAACCGAATTCAGGAGTTTTATAATAAATTAAGTTCCTTCCAAATTTCTCCAAAGATTAGTTTCTGTTTGATGAATATTGAAGATTCCTTGCACTTAACACATTAAATATTCATCAGCAGAAAATGAGCGTTAAAACACTTAGAAAGATGGTCCTACTGAAACAAGTTATATAACGCAATCTTTTTGTACAAATCCTCTAAGTACTTCCTGCCATGAAATTCAACTTCTGCTAGAAGCAGAACGTCAGAGGTAGCAATAGAAAAGCTGCTGCCAAGTTAGAGATAAGTATCACAGAGAGCTTTTGTTTAATCTAACACAGCTGCTGTCAGTTCCTGACGAGCCACACCAATGCGAGTTCCCTTGGAAAGAAGCTGAGGTAAACCATGCTTAGGAATCATCACTTCTTTTACGCCCTAGAGCAGAGCTGACTGCATACAAACTAATGATGTATTTCGTTTGCAGTTTATGGTATTACTTAGCTTAGCAACAGTTACATTTCCGGTGAAGTCAAGGGAAATAACAGGCTCCAGAATGGAGCCTGTGTAGTCATTTAGCTTTCATTAGTTCTGGAAAAAAAATCATGAAGTAGCCTGCAAATAGCAAGCGCCGTTAAGCTTGGGCATTCAAAATGGAGGCTCCTGGGATCTCTGCAGATTGCAAATGTATCCTGCAGTAACCCTGCTATGAGTTTCGTTCTTGTGGACAGTTACTGTACAATTTCCTTTGACAAGGATGTTAACATTTTGTTTTTCTGAAATGCATTACTTTCCTTCATTTTTAAACAAAAATAACTTGGGGCCTGACCCTCAATATGCATCCCTTCCAATATTTTGAGGACTCTATCTGGTATTTTGCAGATTGTTCTCTTAGTTTTAAGCTTGGGTGTGATTTAGACCTGTTTGGGCTTTAGAGATTCCTAAAGTTCGCTTGCATAATAAAGAGATGCTGCCATTCCACTGACTAGTCCCTGTAGTGCCAAAGTTGGTTAAGATTTTAACCCATAAAAAACTGAGACTAATACTCAAGCATCATGAAAAGCTTTTCTAGTAAAAGTGAATACTATCTGTTGATAGTATTAACTCCTTACATCAGGCAGCCTGGTTTCAATTTAGCTTACAGGCCAATGAGCATTGAAAAGTTCAGTGAAAAAAAATCTTTTCCATAAAAGTCAGCACACTCTGTCATGACTTAGAATAACAGACTACCTCCACTTAGATGAGATGCAGGAGAAACCTAAATAATACTTTTCCTTCTCTGTCATTCTTGTAAGGGAACTTACAATTAGTTAATGAAATGCAAAGTAGAAACTCTGATTATTCTGTAGTAATTTTCCTGAGAGGACATCATCAGCTCTTTTTTAATTCAGAGAGATTAAGGGAACCATACAGACCACCTGTTTTGTTATGTCTTTCTGCTCAGTATATTGATTAAAGAAAGCAATATCTTTCTTCTCTGAGGATATTGAGCTGGGAAAGTAGAAAGAAATGTGAGTTTTGAGCAAGGTTTTTCAGGCTTGCACCCGAGTTTAAATCTGAGTTCTGACTCAGGCTCTGTCATTTGCATCAAATCACTCCAACAGAAATATGGCATAGGTCATGTTCTTTATGCCATAAATAAAAAGGTGGCCTAGATTAAGATAAAGCCTTGTTTTCTAGAATAAGACATGGCAATTGCAATTATTTCAAGGTGTTTGGAAATGAGGAAGATTTTACACGTGCATAAAGGAACATATGGCCAGACAGGCTGGAATTTCAGAGCTGTTCTGTGCCAGATAAGAATGAAGAAAAAAAGAAAGCAGCAACAGGAATAAATATGGAAGTTTAAAAAGAACCCAGAGATTATACATTTGATCAGTTAATATATAATGTCAAGAATCTGTTGGAAATAACAAAATTGGAAATTTGTTCTGATGTGTCTTATTAGGAGTCCAGTGTAACACATGATGATAGGCACTGCTTTATCCACAGTAGCGACCAGGGAAAGTGAAAGGAAAGGAAAGAATCAGCAGCTTCATAGTGAAAGGTAAAGGGAGCGGAGAAGAGGATGTATAAGCACAGTTATGCGTCATCCATGTTATCCAAAAACAGTTTAAGCGCTAACTTGCCAAGTTTGGTGCCAGAGATCAGAGAGAGATAGCTGCAGGTCTTTTTTGCTTATACGGGAGGCGTGAGGGGGAGAATTGGTTGCTGGCACTGCTCATGTTGCTGCAAGGATAAATGTGCCATTTCTTTAAAACTGTAAGTAGAGGCGAAATAGGAGAAGGATTGAAGAAGGTTTTCCTCAGAAATGTTGCACAGAGCTGGAAGAATAGCTTTAAGGATACTAATGAATCTCTGCTGTCTGTTGGAAAAAAGGGACTGTTTCCTTTTTTTAACCTTGCCATTGACATAATTATTGACTAAATTGACTTTGGAGAATGTTTCAAGAAGACAAAATTCTGACTGGATTTCTCCTTTTTTTTAGACTTTAAAGCAGATGAAAATCAAACAGTGCAGAAGCTTTTAATTCATAAGGTTGATTCATGCTTCTTAATTCGCATTGTTGGAGTACACAGTATTTCATCATCCCAAAGTGAGGTGGTGGAGGCATGAAGGGTTGCATGGTGTTGCTTTTTGGTGGTAGGACAATAAAACACCATGATCTCCTGATTTCTCATCACGTGATTTAACCACTAGGTCATTTTTTCTGTCTGGGAGCTTTTTATTGGTCAGCAAAACTTAAAGCTAAATTCATACTCTAATTTTGAACTGGCAAGATTTCAAGATTTACAGACACCAACCAGTATACTTTCAATATCATGGTAAAGTCTTATCAGAGGAATCTTCACACATTCTTAAAAATAGGTTTAATTCTTTTCTTATTAGTATTCGCACAGCATCTAATGGGTCTTCATAATTGAGAAGAAGAGTGAATAAACAGCACATTTGTTTAGGGCAAAGATCACAGGGGAAAGTAGTTCTGGAGATGCCTGGGAAGCATTTGTGTATGGTGCAGTGTGGCAAGGTTTCCATAGGGACAGGCAAACAGTCCACATTCATTTTAAGGTCTTTGTACTGAGAATAATGGGCAGCTCCAGAGAAGGAGAATTGAAGAGTGGAGAGTTTGCAAAGTACTGGACCTTAAAGTGATGTCCATGACTAATTGGCTTTTAATTGGTACTCTTGTTATTGTTATGGAAACTTCTAACTGCAGCAAAAAACACCTGCTTCTGGCACTGAACAAATCTTTAACTTAAATAATTCCTGACTAATCACAAGATAACTCTAGAGAATTATATGGGTTCACGTTCATATATCTTTAACTATTTTATTTTAGAGTCTTATTTACAGCAGGTAAAAAAACCTGTGGATATAAGTACATGGCAGTAAATATAATTATACAGATTTAGTTATACTTTATTTTAAAAGTATATGATGTGGGTTTTTTAAACTCCAGTTAGGTATATTTTTATTTTTATTCTATTTTATGAAAACCATCACAGTTCAGGGAACTCAAGATGGTTTCAGTTTTGGCATACATCGAACAGGGAATTAGAGTTTTAAAAGGTGTGCATGCTTTCATTTATTTATGACTTCTCATATATCATGCAGACCAAATGCCATAATTTGTTTTCACACTGGACCTAAATGGCTGTCTGTTGATTTTCCAAATCCTTTTGTCTTGAGTTGGTCCTGTAATCTGTGGACTTCTGTCCAGTAGAAATCATATTCACAAATTTTCTATGACAAATTCAAATTTTAAATTGCTTAATCTGTAAGACATTAAATATAAAAATTTTAAAGTACATTTTTTTAATTAGCTATAATGAAGATGACTAAATATCCTGGACTTAAACTAAAATAAGGATAAAATTGTAGCTGAAGAGCGTCCATAATACCA